GGGTCCCTTCCAGCCCAAAAGTCTATGAAATCTATGAAATATTTTTGTTTTAAATCTCAGTGTTATTTCTATCTATAGATAGAAATATCTGCTCTATAAAACACACATAGAAATGTATTACACAGACCATCAGATCAAAACAATGGAAGACTCAAGTAAACCAGGATTATTTTTAAAAGAATGAATATGTGTTACCTCTTCAATAGCCACCAACTTGTCTTTGTGCTTCTCAAAGAGCAGATAGGCAGGTTCCAAGCCCCAGAATAAACCGGCTCCAGTTCAAATACTTTGTTTGGTAAAATCAAGGAAAATAAAATCTTATACAAAGTTTGTATTGCTTTATAACTTGAATTGTAAACAAAAGTGCAAAGTTGGACATGCTAGCATCATAGTGACAGCAGTGCCATAGAACAGAGGCAATTCAACATATCATTCTAATTATGGCTGCTGTAATACTTAGCTCACCATTTTTTACCAGGGCTTATTAAGAAGGAAAAGAAAGAGATTTGCTCTTTCAGGCACTCAGTAATTGCTAAGGGACAGCGAGTCCTGAGCCACTACAAGAGCCTGCCCAAGAGCAAGCTTGTCAGGACTGCTGCCATGAATTGGGTGCAATTTTTGCCAGTCTTGCAAACTGAAACAGAAAGCCTAACCCTAAGAAGAGCTAAGCATTTGTATCTTTCAGAGAAGTAAACGAGAGTTACAGGCTCTTCCAGAACCACTGTGGTGCTTGAGGGGCCATCTTTCAAAGGAAACCTATAACTTAGCTGGAGATCACTTCAAACCATTAAAGAGCAGAGGGCAATTTTTTTTACAAGCTGTCACTACAATTTCCAATGGATGAATCTTTTTTTTCAGCACCTCCTGTCCTAACCTCTTGCATAGTGTCACTGTACGCTTTCATTTCCATTCTGCTGGTGGTCAGAGTCAGCCACATGGTCCAGCTGTTGCAAAGAGCAGTCTAAGGGAGGAGACTTGGTCATGATATCAAGAGGGTATGCTGATTCAGCACCTCCTCATGTCAGCATCTACCAGCAAGGCTCCAAAGGAATCCTGCATTAAAGATTAAGGCTGCCTTTAGTAGTGGCAGGACTGCACCAGCCAGGACCACACTGGGAATGTTATTTACCCTCCTCTGAGGACAAACAGCCCAATGTGTCCTCCTCTCTGCTGCAATCTGCACCCACATGCCTGCTGAGACTAATCAAAGTTGTATTCGTGAAATGCAAAAGCTGCTCTAAAATGAAAGGTGTCCTTGTGGTGTCTAAGGGGAAATCATGAGCCTCTTAATCACATGGTGCCCTCTAGTGGTCAAGCACAGAATGGACTTCCAACAGTAGCAAAGGTAGAAGGTTGGTCCAGGAACAATGCAAGACGCAAAGATTTTTATGGGTGATATCTTTTATTGGACTAATTGTGTATTTGGGAGATTTTGGATACCAAGTAGCCTTCTTTATGTCTCTGAGAAAAAAAAGCAGACATAGTATGAGCTCTGCTGCAGACAGAACAAAGGGCCTGTGCTAAACTTTAACGTAAATAAAAACAGGGCATAAGAGACATAATCAGGAGCTAACAGACAGGAGAAATGGAGTAGAAAGGACAGCACTGGGAACTCTTCCTAATCACCTGGACAGTTACACTGTGGTGTCCTTGTGCTCTGCTCTGAATCAGATGGACCCCATAGTATGCCATGACAGTGACAGAGAGCACCCACCAGCAGCATTGATTGGCTTCATTGTCATTCCCACCAAAGCCATTGGGACTGAAGGGCCCATGACAATGGAACTTTCCTTTCACCTCTATGCACACTCTCAAAAGCCTGATCTATGCATAATTTTGGCACCAGTTTTCATTCCTATGTCAATGAGATGTGTGCCTATTCACTGGTAGCGTTATTCCTTGGAGGGGATATACCGTATACCAGTAATCTCCTTCCTGTGTAGGAACGGCTAGACTTGGGGGGAGAGGGGGCAACCGGCAACACAGGTGCCACATATGGTAACCTGTGTGTAGCCTGTGTGTGTGGCATGTGGCAGATTGGGGAAGGGACAGGCAGTACAGCATCAGATAGGGCAGGAAGCAGAAATGAGAGCACTGGATCAGACAGGGAGGACAGGGAAGGAAGCAGAAAATATAGCACCAGATTGGGTAAAAGAAAGAGATTAGGGTGGCACTCAAGGAGGGTGTGCAGCTAATTTGTGGACCACTATAAAGCTCTTTCAGATCAATAGCACTGCATTCATGCTAAGAGAAGCTGGATCAGTTAGCTATACCTGTCAGAGGTGTAGCAAGGTAATTCATCACCCAGGGCAGGGGTGGGGTAGGCCAGGCAACAGCAGCAGAAAGGGAGTCCAGCACAGCAGTCCTGTGGGAGCTGCTCTGGGGGGTCCCCTTTGCTCCAGTCCTCACAGATATGCTACTAGGTGCAGGGCTGTTCCTGCTGTGAGAAAAAAATCCCTAGGTCGGAAGCAGTACCATTCTGCTTGGCCCCCACCCCCAGATGCACTGCTGAGTGTGAGACTGCTCCTACAGCTGGGCAGGGGCAGTGAAGGGTTGCCCCTGGAGGTAAAGGCTCCCAAGAGGGATTCTGGTCCCGCCTCAGCTGGTACCCAGAGCTGCTTATTGAAATGGTACACTTTTTATCTGGAGATAAGCTTAAAGCCAGGACTGAGATACTTTGGCAGGACATTGTAAAACAATGTCTCCTGATACCCCATATTATGGATAGAGGGAGGTTTCCAGTCTCCCAGCCTGCCAGTCTCTCTTTGTACACATGATTCATACATGCACACGTGAAAAAATAAGTTGAAAATGAATCTTTGCTCTCTTGATATTTCCAGGATTTTTCCTTTTGCTTTTATAGACAGAGAAAAACATAGTTTTACCCCTATGCCTACAGATGCCTTTCAAATCGTTGTTTCTCTCACACCAATGCACGTAAACAATTATTTTCATAAAGCACAGAGGTGCTTCTGACTTTAGCATTTGATAAAGTTGGCCGTTGCATATGACATCTTACGGCTCTCTGAACCACTGAGTCTCTAACATGCCACCCTGCTCTAACTTCTGCCTTTCATAAAGCAGATTTTCTGTGTTAGCCTGTTACACTGCATCAATTCTTATCTATAATGAATAAGTCAAAACCAACCATTAGGTTCATTTGTATTCAACAACTCTGTTTAGAGAGACAACACTGTAGCCTGTTTTTCCTTACAAGAGAGGATATAGATATGTAATCTTCCCTCAGCACCCATCCAAGAATAAATTTATCTTGATTTCCTGTGTCACAACAGAAGTATCTTGCTATAGAGCAAACACCACAGCTGACTAGAAGCCTAACTCTGCTTTTAACTGCTTGTGTGCAGCCCCCAGTAAAACCCTGCAGACTTTTTATTTCAAGTATATTTTATTTCAAGTATAAAGCCTAACCCCCTTTATTCCATATCCTTAGCTGTCAGATAGCAATTAACAGCTCTGGGCAATGAGATCCTGCAAAATAGGTAACCCAAACATTATAGCTTCCAATCATGTTGCTTCCTTGGAAGAAGAGGAGGTTAGGGGTTGCCTGCAGCTCCCTGAGAATGCATGTACCACATCATCTTATTGTTTCCTTTTTTCAGACTTGGCTTGTTCACATTTTCAGTAGCAGGCACACATGCAAGACTGTAGATCTGACTCATTCCCCCCTGTTGTTTTAAGCATACAGCTACCAAAACCTTAGCATTAAATCATAAAAGGCCAGTGGACAAGGCACAAGTCTCAGGACTTTTCTATACTGGCTACTGGCCACCTAGCTCTGCTGACAAAGTCCCTAGGTGGAGGTGCAGCACATAATGGCATCTGGAAATTTCCTACTAGTTTTGCCACTCCATCTCCTTGACCAACAGGAGCTCTGTGGTCAGCAGCCCTTCCCTGTTGGCATCACTATGTATAGATGTTGTGGAAGGGGAGGTTGCTTGGAACAGTTAAGTTGGTAAAAGGTCTGATGGTCCCCTAATCCAGTGGTTCTCAACCTCTTTTGTACCAGGACCGATTTGTAAACATTGATGTCCAATCTCAGCCCAGTGCCCCTCACTCCCAACCCACTGCCCCACATGCCCAGGACCCAGTCCCGCACATGCCCAGAGTGGAACTCTGCCAGCCTGCAAGGGAAACCCCAGAGTTTCCCACATTTTTCTCCTTTAAAGGAGAATTCATCTTTAAAGTTTGTTGATCCAAGTTTGTTTGCAATCGTTTCATATATTCTTGTGACCCACTTTTGGGTCATGACCCATGGGTTGTGAAATGCTGCATCAACACAGTTTTGCCAGCAAGCTTTGTAGTGTAGGCCAAGCCTAAGAGTTAAAACCACAGGTGCCATTCCTGGCTCTGCCATGGATTCATAAGGACCTGATTCCACACTAGTAGCCTAATTTGTCATTCATACCAGTTAGTAGTAAGTGTAACATGCTAGCAGTTCAGAAGAGGAGTATTTTACACTCATTGGGCACTGATATAAATGAGTACTCAGAAAGGCCAGGTGGTGGGAAATTGGACATGATGGCAAGCAACATTGTGGCCAATCAATTAATGTCTCTGTTTCCCTTTTTCTGTGAGTGAAGTCAGGAGAGTAAAAATCTTCACCTCTACAGCATTGTGGGATCCAGATAGGACAAGTGCTGGTAAGGGTTGTTTTAAGGGATAAGTGGGTTATTATTTCTTTGACAGAAAAGACATCTTTGTACTGAGAAAAAGCACATAGCAAAACCAACCTTTCTGCTAGACTGATCACTCTCTCAAATTCATTTACCTGCTCTGTCATGGAAACAAAGGCTTGAACTCCAGCCTGGATGAAACAAAAACAAGCATGTCACCAATGAAATGTACGCTTCCAACTGGTTATTGATTTCAGTTTACAGAATGCCTAACTATTCATCAGAAGACTCACCTGTGAACTGAAAGCACCTTAGCTACAGATATTATTTAAAAAAATCAGAAAAATGATTTCTAAAATGTATCCAAATGAATAATGGCTTCTTCTCAGTCATGTAGCCAGGCAGGACTGAACACAAAAATCCTCTGTGGTTATAAATTCTGCCACCGACAGCAAAAGGAAATAAGCTCATGTACCTGTTGCACTTCCTCTGGCCAGCCCCTACTTGTTAGCTTCATTCACAAGGTAGCAGCTGGTCTTCAACTAAGGTGCCCCTTCTGCTGCAGTCCCCTGCCCATGTGATATTGCACTACAGGATGGGGACCCAAAGCTGACAGCTCTGGAGTGAAGCAGTGTTAAATATTAGTCTTTTACTATATGCTTGTAATGGGCTTAGCACAATGGGAACCCTAACTGGCTGTGGCTTCTACCTACTACAGTCAAAGGTCAAATCTCAGGTATGCCCAAGGTACACTAGTTTCCCTAGTGTAGAAGGAGGTGATGTGACTATCAACACATCCAGCCACCTCTGAGCTCATAGCCTGAACAGGGTACCTAGCACAGTCTGAGGTTTGAAACTCATGCCTTCTGGTATCCAAGCAGATACTATGGTTGAGGACTTCTGGTTGGCATAGAGTATTTAAGAGGAGTCACAGATGTTTAGGATCTTTCAATCACATCATTTACACCCTGCAAGAGAAGAATTTGTCAGTTATCCTGCAAACTACAGCCCAAACTGCTTTTCAACACTCAGTGGAAGGGCAGTGTTTGAGGCAACAGACTGGATCTCAGAACATGTTGGCCTCACCTCTGGCAGGGCTACCTGTGGCTTGGGATAAGTCACTTAATTTCTTAGCGCTTTCATGTAGCACTGTGTGAGGGAGAGCATTTGTCTTGTGTTGTGAAAAGCAAAGTTCATTCATGCTTCTATATCATACTGGGATGCTGGGGTGACTGCAAAAGTAGCAGGGTCACTCCATGAGAAGCCAGTGGCATAACTAAGAAGGAAGGCCAGGTCCCCTGACAGCACAAGGCGGATCTCTCTCCCGGCTCCCATTCCTATGTCTGGGACCTGCCCCAAGCACTTTTTCTGTCACCTCTGTGAATTAGGTTGCTCAGACACTGGGGTATTTCAGATCCTCATCCCGCACCAACACAAATCTGGGGCGTGCTAGATATCTCTGTATAAACATTCAGGTGGTAATGCTGGAACAGGGCTCAGCACAGACACAGGTACATTTAGCATCAGCATTTATAGGGCTGAAAGGATTTGTGGGATTCACCCATTTGTCTTTTAAGGATACATTCCAAGGAACCCCCTCCACAATGACTTCCCCATCAGGCACCCACCCAGAAGCTGGGGCTGCCATTGGCAAATAAAAAGGCAGAGGTCCAGAATTCTACCTCTATTTGATTAGTGTCTAAGGCAGGGATAACAAGCCTTTGACTGTTGGGAGACAATAGGGATTGCTGGGAAAAGAGTGCCGGTTAGGTATAACTTGCATTCTATCAAGCCCACTCCCCAGCAGGCACACTCAGGTATGGAGGACATAGCAGAGAAATTAACCAAGCACCTAGTCCTCTTTTCATTTCAGTCACACAACAGATGGATCTCGCTGCATTGACTATGCCCTGGGAGGTGTCAGGTCCTTTGTGCCGTGACAGGCAGCTCTGAATACTCAGGTCGCTGAGGAGAATGATGTTGGCAGCTTATCCTAGGCCCGTCAGTCTTACCTCTATCCTTGGGAAACTCTTTGAGAAGATCCTCAAGGAGCACATCTGTGATGGGCCGGCTTCAGGGATGATGCTCAAGGGCAACCAGCACGGTTTCATTAGGGGCAGGTCATGTCAGACCAACCTGATTGCCTTTTATGATCAGGTCACAAAGGCAATGGATGCAGGTGTCGCCGTGGACGTAGTCTTTCTAGACTTCAGCAAGGCCTTTAACACCATCTCCCACCCCATCCTCATTAAAAAACTAGGCGACTGTGGCATTGATGCCTACACAGTCAGATGGATTGCAGATTGGCTCAAGGGTCGTACTCAGAGGGTGGTGGTGGACGGGTCATATTCAAC